TGGCTAAGGAACGCCAAAGAGGGCCAGGACAAGGCATCCAGCCTGGCAAAGCGGGTGTCGGGGCGCGGGCGACATTGGCCGGCGAGCTGCAGGATGAAGGGGCAGGGACATGCGAGGGAGATGAGGAGGCAGGGACCGAGCGAGAGGATGAGGGAGGGAGAAAATCGAGAGTACAAAAAAGCGACGTTAGAGAGAAGGATCTCTATTTATGCTGCGGCCGCAGCCGGGCCGTGCGAGCATGCGAGTTTGACGCGGCGCTATACCCGATCGGGAGGGCCGCTAAACCCGGCGGGTGCGACAGCGAGCTCCGCATTACATTATCTTATCTTCAACTGCCAAGAGATGTCTCAAGACCAAATGTAACAGCGGCATGCATTTCTTCAGGGCTGTGGGGCCCACTTGACAGCTTCCTTGTCACTTGCGGGCATTGCCAATCTTCAACACTCAGGCTCTTGTGCGGCTAGCCATCTGGAGAAACACGCCGAGAATCACTCGCTGCGTGGCTGATGCTGTGGCCTGTCCTCTCGTTCAGAGGGGCTGATGATTGGCCACCGGTCCACAGTTTCCAGGATAAGACGCAGGAATGCTGTCGCTCTGCTTCCCGAAAACGGGAGGGGTTTCGTCATGCTCTTGGTCTCAAACTCGCACACGATGGGCTGGATTTGATCTCAAAAAGCAGCTCTCTGTTTGCTGGGAAGATGTGTTGCCATCTGTTACTGCGGTAAGTCAATCGCAGATGCACCGTCAAACTCCACGGTTCAGAGCATTTGTATCCGTAGTGCCATTGGAATCGAAGATGAGGTTTGAGGACATCAGCTGGCGGCCTCCCTTCTGGTGGACGAACAAACACAGCCCTGCCGTCGGGTTTCCTCCGCATATCACCGCCTCAGCTGGCGGACAATTCCATGCTGGGAGACGTCAGCTGTGGCTAACGTTAGAGTCTGACCAAGGAGGAGACCGACAGCTTGAACTCCACTGTGGCCGTGTCGGCAGGTGGCTGGCTCAGTTATGCGGAGTCGCCCCGGCAACTACTACATTGATCAGCCGGGCATTTCTTCCCTCCTTCTTGCCTTAATTCACCTCCTAACGACTAACGTTAACGACGGTGCCACTGCAAGACTGCAACACCGCGTTTACGAGCGATTGTAGCACTTTGTGCCTTGGTGGTAACTGCAACAGTGCAACCTCCAAGGTCGGGATCCGCTGTACCCGTCGACCGCCCGAAGCAACAGGGACTTGAACGATCCAACTTCGCTTGACTCGCTCCAGTCTACCCAAAATTCCAACTCAAGAGATATTCCATTGTTTACCAACTCCCGGCCCGGATTTCGATTCCACGGTAAACATACATTGAATCTCACAACCGAGCTCGCTTGCCCGACGCCCCGTATACGGCTACGGTTGATTGTTTTCTGAAGGGCGCCGTTTGCCGGAGATTGCGTTTCTTCGCTCCCGCGGGCCTGGAGAAGAGCTGCCAGCAGAATGGCGGCCAACGACTATTACAATCAAAAACCGCTACCCGATGCGACCAATCCTCCATATCAGGGATACTACAGCGGGTACCCGGCACAATCCACATCTTCCACTCCCGCTCCCCCTTACAGCTCGCAACCACATCTCGCCCCAGGAGATCGGCCGTCGCAAGGACTGTCTCCTTCGCCCTTCGAGACCGTCTTTGATGATCATGTGTACCCGGCGAGCACACATCAGCCCACGCCAGCCTCGAGCATGCACCGATTAAGCCATCAAGACACGGGCTACCACGGCCACGCGCCCGTCTCGCCCGACGACACGGTGTACAACAGGCCCACCGACGATATTCCCCTCCAAGATCGCCCCCAGCGACAACCTCCAAAAGACGGCGAGATGCAAGACCACGTCTATGACGCGTCGCAAACCAAGCGCACGCGCCGGGGCCGTGTGCGCTTCGGCGAGCTGGGAATGCTAGGGTCAGGCCGTAAAAAGATTCCCTTTGTGGTCTATTTCTTCACCATCGTCCAGATTGCCGTCTTCATCGGCGAGCTTGTCAAGAACTGTAAGTACAGCCGCCAGTCAATTCGCTCCTGATATTTGCGTTGCTGACGCAGCGCCACAGCCATGGAAACTGGTTCCCCCATCATGACCCAACCCTCCTTCAATCCCATGATCGGGCCCTCGCCCTACGTCCTCGTCAACATGGGCGCGCGCTTCGTCCCGTGCATGCACAACGTCGCCGGTATTCAAAACGCCAACAGGACCATCCCCTGGCCCTGCCCGAGCTCCAAGTCCCTCAACTCGGACCTCCCAGAAAACAAGTGCACGCTTTCCCAGCTCTGCGGCTTCGGTGGCGTCCCGGAGCCCGCCTACAGCCCCGGCACGCCGCTCGACACCAAGCCGGAACCCAACCAGTGGTTTCGCTTCATCGTTCCCATCTTCATGCACGCGGGGTTGATCCACATCGGCTTCAACATGCTGCTGCAGCTCACCCTCGGCCGCGACATGGAGAAGTCGATCGGCTCCATCCGCTTCTTCCTCGTCTACATGTCGGCCGGCATATTCGGTTTCGTCATGGGCGGCAACTTCGCCGCGACGGGGATCGCGTCCACGGGCGCCTCTGGCTCCCTGTTCGGGGTTATTGCCCTTACCCTGCTCGACCTGCTGTATTCATGGAAAGACCGCGTGAACCCGGTCAAGGATCTGGCCTTCATCATCCTCGACGTGGTGATCTCCTTTGTCTTGGGCCTGCTCCCCGGCCTGGACAACTTCTCGCACATTGGCGGTTTTTTGATGGGGCTTGGGCTGGGCGTGTGTGTTCTGCACTCGCCCAACTCGCTGCGCAGGCGAATTGGTGATGACGATGCGCCGTATGCGAGCGAGCGTATCAGCGGGGGCTTCGCGGCGCAAGGGACGCCGCCGTCCTTCTTGAAGAATCCGGTGGGGTTCTTCAAGGGGCGGAAACCACTTTGGTGGGCGTGGTGGCTAATTCGGGCGGGCGCGTTGGCGTTGGTGACAGTTGTGTTTATTCTCCTGTTGAATAACTTCTATGTTACCCGCGCGACATGTGGGTGGTGCAAGTATTTGAGTTGCTTGGTAAGTAACCTACTACCCTCATGCTTCGTACTGTTATGCCGGGTCTTGAAGCTAAAGCTGAATTGTGAAGCCTGTTAGCAATTGGTGCGATATAGGGAATCTGCAGCTCTGAGCTCCCTGGCGGCATGCCCTGGGAAGGGGCGTGTTATAACCATGGTGGCTCGCTGGTATGGCCGCACACACTGCGGCTGCTACCAAGCCAGGAATACTCCTCCGAGTTGGCTGGCTAAAGGGAAACGATAGGCGGAGAGCTGTTCTGAAAAAAAGGAAGGGAGCCTAATAAACACACATCGATGCATAGCAGTGGCGTCTGGGTCTATCTTTTTCACCTTCCCTTATCACTGTTTGTTATCCTCTCACTGGTTTTCCCTAGCGAACCAAAACGGTCATGCTGTGGTGGGGATCGGATTGCTTGTAGAATCGCGGTCTTTTACATTTGGTTGGGTTCATAGGCCACAGCGCATTGGGTTTTGCGGTCATAATGTTGTGTTTCGGCACGGCATCCATGGTTGAGGGTAGAAAGAGAAGGTTTGTGGGCGGGTGAGAGGGATGGGTGGGATATTGGTTGTGAATTTGGGAAGAAGCCTTCATAATGGTATTGGATATTACAATACCATCATCAAATCATCAGGCCCTGGTCCAACCATTGTGTCTGAGTCGCCAGGCCAGGTGATTGTGTTGCTGTCTTTGGCTTCTGGCCATCGTAGTGTGTGAAATGAATCATGTACGATGCGAACTGCCTTCAAGACGTAGTGGGTGAGCAAGAAATGAGGCCTGGCTTGCGTCTCGGTTGACTTGCGCATTGCTCGATGATAGACCTAGAGTTGAAGGAACTGGAAAAGGTGTGTGCAACAACGATTGAGCAACTTGAACTGTGCGAGCAGCAGAGGTCTATAGATGTCCCTTCAGTTGTGCGCATGACGACCGGAGTGTAAGCGTCAGAGATTTATTGTGTTCTCCTGATATATCATGCTGAGAGCCCAGAGTGCAACGACAAAACTCATGAGCTAACTCCGTGCTCTATGATACAGTGGTGGTACATTGTACAGATCTCATAGAGAAACCCCTGGCATATCTACATAGCATCCAAAAAACAGACACTACGCCGTCTAATTATGGCTCTTCTTCTCCTCCTTCGAATCACCACCTTCCCTGTCCTCGCTCGATGACTGCACATTTGGTTTCGCAGCACCACCGTTCTTGGCCTCCTGAAACACCAACTCGTACGGGATAGGGTGGTCAGAGCCGTAGACGTGCACGGGCTGCTGGCGCTGACGCTGGTTCTCGCGCTTGCGAAATTTGCGGCCGCGGGTGCTGTACTGCTCCAGCCGGCCCTGAAACATGGCGTGCCACTTGTTGCGGTCTTCCTGATCCGGGTAGAGTAGGTTTTTGCGGCGCTTGAGAACCATCTTGTACAGGTTGGTGGCGCGCTCCGGGTTCACCTCCTCTATGGCGTACTCGACGGTCCAGCGCTGCTTGGGTCGAAGCGCGTCTGGGCGAACCACGTACTTGCCGTCGACTTTGTTCCGGATGGTGAGGACGAGGCCGTAGAGCTCGCCGCCGTCAGCTTCGTCAACAAAGTCTTTTGTGCTGAACTCTCTGGCGGCAGTGACCCCCTGTTCCGGCGGTGGAGTTGTGGAGTCTTCTGACGGGGTGGCAATTGACTCTTCTAGTTCCACAGTCTCCTCATCCGTCTTCTCACGCTCCTCTGCGGGCTCGATAGGCTCAGAAAGGTTGACTGACTCGACCGACTCGACCGGCTCGACTGGTTCAGCCGACTTCCCCGCCTCGGCAGCCTTCCCAGGCTGAACAGTCATAGAACCCGTCTCAATCACAGTGTTCCCTTCGCCCCGCTCAGCGCCATCCTCTTCTTCCTCTTCCTGCGGCTGCTCCTTGAGTTCCGACAGAATCCTCTCAATCTTGCGGAGTCTGAGAGCATGCGCCGGCGCATCCTCGTCGACAATGTCGGCCTCGAGATCGCTCGGCTGGTTGTTCCGTTTCTCGCTGATGGGGACAGTGCGGATCTGCGTCGCCAGCTTGACGATCAAGTCCTTCAGGGTCGGCTCGCCAGCAGATGACTCGTCGGTTGCGGGGGACTGCTCGTCCTTGGCCTCCTCGGCTGACTCCTCGGCCTCCTCTGCGGTAGAAGGAGCGTTACTACTCGGCGTGGCGTCAGGCTCAGGTGCGTCTCCAGTGGCCTCAACTGGTGACTCCTCAGCCTCGCTCAGTTCGGCAGCCTGCTCCTCTGCTGTATCCGTGGGAGATTCTTGTGCACCCGATGCACCAGGGCGGCCATTGTTCGTGAGTGCGTCAAGGAAGGCGTCGATGTAGCGTTGTGTCTCGTCGGTCGGCGTATTCCGGAGAAGGCCGCTCTCCTGGAGGGCATCTTCGATGGCCTCCCGAACAAATGTCACGCCGTGCTCCTCATCCTCCAGTTCGTCCTCAACCTTGGACATAACCTCTTCCCACGCAGCAGAACTGGCTACTTCCTCGCCTTCCCCTTCCTCTTCGACCACGTCAACATCTTCCTCGTCCGCCTCCTCAGCAGCCTCGTCGGCGCCATCCTCCTCTGCCAGCGCACGTTCCTCTTCGCTCATGACGCCCATCATCTCTCGCTCGAATTCCTCAATCTTGGCTCGCGTGGCTCCTTGAATTTCCTCGATTTCGGCGGGCGTGACAGGCTTGGCAAAGATGTACATGAAAGGGGTGGTCTCGCCTCTCGTCTCGAAATGAAGACGCAGGGAGCGGCCAGGGTATTTGGCCGTCACCTTGTCAAGGACCTTGTTGAGCAGGTGGAGGCTGAGCTTGAATTCGCGGTCGCCGAGGGTCAGGTCGCTCTGGCCATGCAATGAGAGGTCCATCTCGGAGAGGGGGATGTACTGGAATCCAAAAATGCGCTCGGTGTTGTGGAAGGCGACAAAGATGCCATCCATCCGACCCATGCGGACTTGAAGCGAGTATTTGAGGAAGGCGGACCGGATCATGTCATAATACTCGCGCTCAAACGACTCCCACTGGCCAAAGCGTTTGCGAATCTCGTAGCCCATGCCTTTGTGGAAATCGCGGGCATCCATGCGGATCGAGATGACAGCCCTGGTCTTGAGGTCGAACATGCCGGTCCCCGGCAGGCGGGGATCGTAGGCGTCAAGCTGGGACCGCATCATGAAATCGCCCAGGGTGGTGTAGTGGAATGACTCGGGGCCATTCCGTTCCTCCTCCGTGAGCTGGTCCGAGTTGGTCTTGCGGTATTTTTCGAAGTCCTCTTTGGGCAGGGTAAGGAACTTCTCCATCGACTTGCCCAGCATACTGAGAATGTTTGCCGTATCGAACTCCTTGTCAGCATCGATGGCGTAGATGCCGTCCTTCCAGTGAAGGAAAGTGGCAGAAGGGGCCCGCATAATGCGGGTGAAGTTGTATGATTCGATCTCGAAACCGCGGGACATCATGGATGGATTTATAGGGCGCCAGGAGGAGAGGAGATAGTGGAAGTGGGCTAGGGTAGAAGTCATGCTTGAAGTCGACCCCGTGTACTTCTTTTTGTGTTCGGCTGCTGTTTGAATGAGGGTGGTGTCCTTGGAGGATGTGACATATTGCTTTATGGCCTTGAAATCGAACTCCTTGACGGGCATGATGCGTTCCAGATAAGGATCGAAATTGAAGACGCGAGACCGGGGATCTTGAATATGGTAAACGCCGGGGTTGAATAGCACGCGATCAAGACCGTAGGCTAACTTGGGGACAGGCGGTTGCGGTTTCTCGATGGGCTTCAACTTGATTTGGTTCGCGTCGATGCTGTTGACGATGAATGGGCGGGCCCCTTTGGTCTTCGCAGTGCCATGGTTACCGGTGCCGAGATTAAAGGGCTGGAGGGCGGCGAGTGTCGGAGGCTGCAAGGGCGACGGGCTGCACTTCGGCTTCGCCGAGGTTGCCTTGGTAGCCGGCTTCTCTGCTGGTTTCGTGGCCGGCTTCCCTGCATGTTTAGCGGCTGCTTCCTCATTCAGTTTCTCGGCCAACTTTCTGTCCATCTTTGGCAGTTTTACAAAGCCCAATGCCTCAGCCAGAGACACTTTTGGCTTCTCCGGTGCCGCAGCCTCCTCTCTCTTTGGTGCAGCGGTCGGGCTCTTCTTGCTCGGCAGAGGTTTCCTCGTATTCTTCAAGTCCTGAGGAGAAAGTTCTCCCAATTCTTGGCGGAGGGCCTCCTTCAGCGTAGTGAGAGCGCCCTCCAAAAACTGTGTGTCTTGAGGTGTTTTTCCTCTAGTTTTCGGTTGGGCATCCTCGGCCGGGTTGGCAGCATCTGGGCCGGCTTCAGGAGTGGGCGACTCCTGGTCGGTTTTGATGTCCTTTAGAACCTGGAGAGTTTCGCGCCATAGCTGAAGTCTCGACCGGGACGAGGGAGGCGGGCTCAACGACGATCCGGGAACGGTTTCCGCTTTCCCTTTTCGGCGAGTCGTCCGACTCGGAGTCGACTTCGACTTGGACTTCAACTTCGGGGCCCTTTTGTCGGCATCAAAGCGGTCAGTCGACGAGAAGTGACGGCGCGGTGCACAGAGTGCTGCAGCGGCCGACGAGGGAGGCGTGGCGCCCGATGCCAGCAGCACGCGGCATTGTGCGCAGATGAAGCGAGTCCTCAGTGTGCTGCGTGCCTGGCTGCTCAACCGCAACATGGCAGTGCACTGGGTCCGTCGTGGCGGTCGAGACCTGGGGTTGTTGGCGTCTCGATGCGGCACCCGACAGTCAACGGCAAACGGCCGATGCCGATTTTTGAGAGACGCGGTCCACAATCTCTGCTTATCGCGCTCTTGATCCCGGGCCCCTGTCAGCTTTCTCCTTTTCCATCCTCCCCACTTTTGCCCGTCCCGGCTGTGGGTCGGGTCCTCATTCGGACGCGATCTGGTACGGTACCCAAGGTAAACCACCTCATACTGATAGTAACGCTAGTAGCCATGTTCGAAGCGCTGGAGATTTCGATAATTGGGTGTGAATTTGAGATGCGCTGTGTCAATTCAAACTGAATATTATGTGTTACGAAGTGTATAATCCAACCCTAGTTTGAAAATTAGTGCAGAACTTTGGCATTTGCAGATGCCACTTTATTTGTTCACTTCCTCTTCTCTTTTCTATATCTTCTCGTCTTCCTCTTGACTGAACTATATATAGTGATAAAAGATAGTGAATAAAGTTGATATTGAACTACAAAAGCTATAGGAAGAAGGGGTAACTATAGAGCCGCTATAAGCAAAAGTGATTAGGTATTACTTAACCTATACTTAAGAAGCCTAGTGCTAAAGCCCAATTGTGTCACGGCGGGACAGGCGGACAATCCAATGACAATTGTATTCGGGCTAAACTACAGTCTAAGCTCTATTCCGTCAGGTACGGGCAGGCTTGATTGTCAAG